CTGATTGTATTAGAGGTAGTTATATGACTCAGTTTTTGAGGCCAGCTTGATTCCCATGAGTATCAGTAACTGATTTTTAGTTAAATATTCTAGCCCAAATCCTATCTTTTATAAATATTGAAACCATATATAAACTAAGTGAGTGGGTGTGTCTACACTGGGAAATCTTTAAGCTATTGTGAGAGTAAAACTTCAGAGTACATGCCTTAGTATTGTAGGGAGGAAAACATGCATCATCTTGACATAATGAGAACAGAGTTGTCTGCATGGCCCATCTTGTACTCTTTTTGGTTTTTAGAGACAGGGTTTCTCTGTGTAGCCATGGCTGTCCTGGAATTCACTCTGTAGACCAGACCGGCCTCAAAGTCACAGAAATCTGCCTATCTGCCTCCTAAGAGCTGCTACCACCACCTGGCTCCATCATACACTCTTGGAATGAATATAGCTTCCTAAAATGTATGTAAGTGTGCATTAAGATATAGCTCTATAAACATTCTAACTGTTCTCCTTCACATGGTAAGGTACTGTAAAAGACCTGATAGGTCAGCTTCATCTGGCACAGAAATTAATTTAAAATCCTTCTTCTCTGTTTAATGTAGGAATTGATCTGAATTTTGGGCAGCTTACCTCTGATTTTAAGTTATATTAAACTCTGCCTACTGGCATAATTAGGGCTTTAATACAGCTGTTTAAACAAGCACACCTGACCTGTATTTGAATGCAGTTTTACTCACTTATAGCTGAGGATACTTAAACACATCAGTGTACAAATCTGGGGCCTAATCTAGGTTTCTAAATACTGTTATTCAACAAAAAGAACCATAGTATCTTGGAGAAGTAGTGGTATTAAGGGTAGGACAAAGAAGATACAAGACGAGCTTGGGTAATCTTCTGGTGTCTGAAGATACAGAAGTAGATAAAACTAAGTTAAAAAAAATTGGTAAAAGAAGCAGGTTAGAAAGATATAGGCATTAGCCAAAGCTGGAACAATTGGGATATCCGAATAAATAACAGCAGTATTCTGTTGTAGTTCAAAGATTCCTATATTTGAACTTGATCATTCAACAGTGAATGATTGAGCGGTGTAATAAACATCTCTTCACCACAGAGCAATTGTAATTAATGAGGTGATATATTTAATTAGTGAGATTGGCCATTGAACAGTGCAAGCATACCAGAGTATCACATTGTAGTCCATAAATATTTTATATTTGGCATTTTAAAAGTGAGATTTAGAACTGGCAAGATGACTCACATGGGTAATGGGACTTGCCGAGAAGCCTGATGACCTGAGTTGAATCCCTGGAGTCTACATGGTAGAAGAGAAGAACTAAACCCAACAAGTTGTTGTCTGACATCCATATGTGTGCCATGGCATGCACATGCCTCTACACATAGATAGGTATTTTTAAATGAAATTTTAAAAATACACTTGAGGTCATCCTAGAAAGGAAACATTTCTCTTTATTTCTCTGATCTGGCATGCCCTGAAATCTAAGGTAGGTTAGGGAAAGGGGTGCCCAAGTGGTCGTTTCCCTAATGGTTGGCCAAAGCTGATGATGGTGGACTGTAACTATTCTGAGTTGTTGTGAGACTTTGCTGTATGCTATCTCCAGTGGCTAACAACACACACATACAGCACTCATGTGTGGTGAAGAGATAAGTGAAGTGGTTAGTATGATGAAATGGGAACACAGTAGGCTTTGATTCTGTGGGCCCCACATCCTGGGATTTAATCAAGCAGAGATGGAAAATATTGCCCATGGGTACTATGTGGATAGACCTAGGAAAGTTGTATCTTTACTAAACCTGTGCAGAGTTGTTGTTTTGTTGTTGTTGGTGGTGGTGGTTTTGCCATTATACTATAAGCAATTAAATATAGCAGCTATTTAGACTGCATCTGTAATGTATTAGGTATCATACATAATCCAGAGAGGATTTAAAGTGTAGGAGGGGGTGTGAGGGTTGTACTCAAGTACTGCCCCATTTTTTGTAAGGGACCTCATCATCCAGTCCCTCAGAGATACTGAAGGGCTGTTGTATAGTCCATTCTGTCTTAGTAAATGGTAATTAGAAATCCTGAATGTTTCTATTTCATCTACATGCTCACCCCTTACCTCATTCACTGCATTCCATTTACAGAAAGCTATAGGCTGTAAATGAAAAAAATTATCCAGATTCCTATGAAAAAATATAAATGGCTGTTAAGAATGCCTTTTGTTGCCAGTTCTTTAACCTTGCAGTTATTATCTTTGTCACAAATAGCTAAAATCACTGCATCAAGGAAGGTTGTAAAGGTGCAGTTAAACCTGGCTTCTGGTCCATGTCTGCAGTGCAGTAGCCAGCTGCGTCATCTCTCAAAAGTACTTAACTTTCTCCTGAAGTAAGTCTTCCACATTGCTTTACTAAAGACTACCCAGAAATCTTAGATTACCACGTAACGTGATAAAACTCTTTTAAAGGACAAGACATGGGCTGTACGAGTAGCTTTCCTTGCATACCTGATGTCATTTACTGAGTATACTGTGTTTCGGGACCACGATGTACTTTTTCTACACAAGTCAATCTTACCACGCTTAGCAGGTTCTCACAAATATAATTTTGGAAGTGCTCTGGCAAAGACTCTTGAATGTGGACAGGTATGGTTCCTTGATAGCATAGTGAACCTGGCTGCCATTCAGTGTGGCTCTGGTTGTTCTACAGAACCAGATACCTAGAAAACATGTGTCCTTTTAGTACCACCTTCTTGTGACTGGAAAGAATGCTTTCTCTGCCCAGATCTGCACAAATTACTACCCTAGACATGGTGATTCTCCCTCAGTTCTTGCTGTCAGAAATGTACAATGAGTGACCTCAAGGCCACATGCCAAGCTGTCATCCCAACAGGCTTGTGTCCTCCCCTCCTTAGAGTTCATTTCTCCATGGTGTTTGGATGTCCTGAGTGAAGCACTTTGTCTGGCTCTTTAAGACTTTGAAACTCTTTCATGCTACTTGAAAAACTCATCTTGCCCTTGTGGGTTAAAATGCAGTCATCACTGTCTGCCTCAGGCTCTCCAACCATCTATTCCAGAGTTTGGTTGTGTCTCTGCAGGGAATTAGCCTTTTCCTCTTTAAAGTAGATTTGAGTATCTAATTCTTAACTCATTCTAAAGTATAGGTTTTCTAAAAGATTATAAACATCTCTATGCATGAGTTACCATGTGGCAAGAGGGGCTAGTCTTTGAGGTCAAATAAAGAAGACAAAGATCTCTGGGGTGGTGTTACATTGTAAAGATGGATGCGATTGGCACCTGTCCTCATGACCTCATAAGGCCCACAGGCATGGACTGGGGCTGAGGCAGGGGCACCTTCTTTTCTCCCCTGAGCCTTATGCTTCTGCTGGTTTTTCTGCTCTTCCTGTGCAGTTCCTCGTGACCTTTCTCTCTGGTAGGCAATAGTGGTAACAGTGGTCTCACAGAGGCAGCACTGACATTTCACATCCGTGTTCTCAGCATTTCATGTCTTCAATCATTAATCCTCGCTGCATCTTATCTGGGCAGGTCAGTTATTCTCACTGGCATAGATTTGGAAACCTAAGATCAGAGAAGTAAAATACCTTTCCTGTGACACTGGGTTTAGAAAGAGAGAAACTGCAAGTCAGTTCTAGGTCTCCCTAACTTTATTCTCTTCCATGAAGCATCAATGACATGGTTACAGCCATTACTGTGCCTGATGCCTGTCTGTTCTTATGACTGCAGGCTGAAAGAGTATTTTCCCCAAATGTGTATTGTCTCAAGGCACAAACAAAGCAGGAGTTTATGGTAGCACATTGGTCCCTCATGACAGCTGTCATCTGGGCATGTTTATTATTGCAGCTTTACAGGAGGGGAAACTAAGGTTCACAGGCGCTGACCCTGGTCCTAAAGCCAGTCTGTATGGCAGTGAAGACTTGATCCACTTTTTTTTTGAGTCTTTGCTTAGGCTCCCTGTGCATGCAGTGCTTTGCACATACTAGTAGAGAGCCAGAGCCTCTCACTTTCAAGACTCAAAGCACAAGAGAGTATGGGTCTAACTTGTACAACAGTTGGAAATTGTTTCTTGAGTCTTATCAAAAGGGCAAACATATATCTATGACAAAGGACACTGAAAACTTGCATGCATGTACATATTGAAGGCATTGAGTAAAGTGTTTGCAGAGTGTATTCTAGGTATCAAAGCTGTAGCTTCACTGTGACTAAGATGATAAGGGGAAAGGCTTACAGTTGTTTTGAAGTATAATGCTACTGCATTCCAGAAATGAGCATAAAAGTGATAGTGGTGATGGGTGGCTTGTGGCCAGGCCATATGCTATCATTTGTTAACAAGATATTCAGATACGTATCTGCCTATAGTAGGATGTATGGATCAACGTTTAAAGAGTTATTACTACTAAGTTCTCAGTTGCCTCAAAAGCTGGTATATGTTGCTACTTAGTTGGGTTTTACTCATTTACCTCTTACCATTTATACAGAGTAAAATAAAAAGTCCATTAGTAATCAAGTAACTTACATTCTATAGTAGTCAAATTCACAGTGGTTGTCCACACAAATAGAACTTTCAGCCAAAAAAACAAACAAACAAAAAAAGGCATGGTTTAAGAATTGGGTTTAGGGGCTCACATCTATAGGTAAGCCCAGTAATTGGAAGGGCAAGGCAGGAAAATGATGAGTTCAAAGCTAGCCCAGGCCACACAGTGAGATCCTGTGTCAAAACAACAACAAAGACCATGATTTAAAGTCATTTTCCTATCTCTCACATGTTTTAGTGGAGAACTCAATTCACATATGCATTTATTCATCAATGTTCATTATTTATTATTCATTTATCATTGTGATAATTACTAAGGAAATACTACAAAATAGATGTCACTCTCATCTTTATATGTTAGTTCATAGTGGTCCCACATTGTACAATTGATTACTGAGAAATGCAGTATAGTTTGGGAGCAGAAATGAAAGTAACATTTATTTCCATCCCAATAGATTTCGGTTTTGGAAATTTCTTTAAAACTGGTGAACTGCTGGCAACATGGTGTGGCAGCCCCCCTTATGCAGCCCCAGAAGTCTTTGAAGGGCAGCAATATGAAGGACCACAGCTGGACATATGGGTACTGCTTTGCTTTGATATGTTAAATGTATCTATCATAATAATTGGTACTCTGACCTATCTTAGAAGTTCCTGGTACTCAACGCATGGAAAAGATTTCATACTCTCCCCATCCAATGAACTGTAATTAATCAGAGCACCTTGAGATGGATCCCTAGGAAAGAATTTCTAGGGACAAGTGTTACCCTCCTAATATCAGCAACAATTTGAAGTAATGTGGTGAGCAAAATGACCAAATTCAGATCATTTGGTATTTATGCCTTACTATCACCACAGGAAGTGAGATGGGAATTTTGAACAGGAACCCATCAAATCCGTGTAATTTTAGGAACCGTGGCGGGTGAAGTTCTCCCTGAAAGTGACTGTGTTGTTTTCTTCTCTAGAGCATGGGAGTTGTTCTTTATGTCCTTGTCTGTGGAGCTCTGCCTTTTGATGGACCAACTCTCCCTATTTTGAGGCAGAGGGTTTTGGAAGGAAGATTCCGGATTCCATATTTCATGTCAGAAGGTAACGAGCTATTCCTCATATTGGCTGTACATTATGGAATTTGTGCTGTATGAAGTCCCAGCCTAAGTTTCCCTGCTGAGAGTTTGGGTACCAGATAAAATGACTGAGTCATTTAAAAAGCCATGGAGCTCTGCAACACCCTCCATGTAGACGAGACAAGTTCCAACCTTCCTCCTTGTAACTGAGAACAGAAGCTACCCAGATTAAGAGCAGCAAGTCTTTCCATTCAGCTTGGGTCTATAAATGTCCTGGTTTATTTTAGACTCCATAGATGTAGGCTTACACCCATTTTACTCTATGTATGAAATAGATTTGCAAAATTAAAAGTTTTAAATTCAAAGTCAACTGGTGGAATGCTGGTAAATTCAATTGAAATGCCACAGTCCCTACCTGTCTTGCTTTAGGCTATCATGTAGACGGCAGTTTGATTTGCTCCTTAGTTGTGTCTTCAGTTTTCACCCTTATCTCTTATTCCTGCAAACAGTAGGTGTAATTAATGTGCTGGGAAAGGCAAGGTCACGTAGGCCTTGGAAACAGACTACCTGGTTACAGTCCTGAGTTCCCTTCTCACTGGCTCTGTAGTTTTGGCTCATCTCTAAAGTGGAGTGAACAGTAGTTCCTACCCTTGAGGTGTCATAAGGATGAAGAAATTACTCTGCACAAAGCAGAGTGCCTGATAGATGTGAGTGGCAGGAGGCTGAGCTGGAGGAGAATGATGAAGAGTTTGCTGTCTCTCGGAGCTGCAGCTGCAGTGCACGGTGTCATCAGAAGCAGGGCTGCATACATGGTCATTGGCAGCACTGATGAGAAAAGCAGCCGCTCACTGGAACAAGCACGATGCTCTCCCAGTTGGCTTTACTGAACATGCCCCAATACAACCAAGGATCAGTTCATAGTTACTTGTTCTGAGAATGAAGCTTAGAATTATTTTCCCTTAGTTTAAATCTAAGTGTGATTAGATAAAATACACCAGAAAGACTTTTTCAGCACACAAGTAGACTTATACTCACCTGTGTTTCCTAAGTGTTTGTTCAGCCTCTGAACTTGACCAGTCTACCCTTCATGCATTCATTTGCTCATTTGTCCTGCAGTGAAGGATACAGAGATAAATGTTGTTGTGCAAAGTCACAATGGCCATGCAAATATGCCTGAAGGTGATCTATGTGACTTTTTATGTTCTTTTTTCACAGATTGTGAACATCTTATTAGAAGGATGTTGGTCCTAGATCCTTCCAAACGGCTAAGCATAGCTCAAATCAAGGAGCATAAGTGGATGCTCATAGAAGTTCCTGTTCAGAGACCTATTCTCTATCCACAAGAACAAGAAAACGAGCCATCTATCGGGGAATTTAATGAACAGGTTCTGCGATTGATGCACAGCCTTGGAATTGATCAGCAGAAGACTATTGAGGTAAAGTGATGGAGGTGTGTCTGGAGATATTTTAGGGTTCTTCTGCGTTTGTCCCTTGAATCTTTGTGCTCACACCTGTCATTCTGGTCTTTTAGCACGTCCCCCCAATGCCTGGGTATATTGCTCAGGGTTCCCTGATGATTACATCATGCTCTGTTTATAGTAGCTGTTATTCAATCTCTAAACCTCTTCCTTCACCCTCTCTGCCAAAAAAGTCCAAGAAAAGAATTTTCAGAGGATTCAGAAAAGGCCAAGACTGGGGCTTAAAAATACAAGATAAAGGAGGCTGGGCATGGTGGTACACACCTTTAATCCCAACACTGTGAGGCAAGTAGATGTCTGTGAATTCAAGGAAAGTCAGAGTTATATAGTAAGACCCTATCTCCCAACAAATACAAGGTTTCTTTGAAAGTGAAATGAAGTTTCATAATGGTATAAAACCAGTTTGTATGGACTATAAATGTACATATATGGAACAAGACTAAGGACTGAGGCAAGAGCCTAAAGAGAAGCATCAGATTAAAGCAAGTCAGTGGGTGTTAGGAGGCCCAGAGAAACTAAATAGGCAAAGGCAAATGAGGTTATGGTTTGGAAATGCTAATGGTTATAGAATGAAGAAAGCTTTGAACCTGGAAATGTCCTCTTGACCTTTTTTTTCTATCTAATAATTAGCATGCTTATAGAACATACACAGTACTACACAACAGCCCCACCAAAGCAGAACAGTGCCTTTATGGAGACTGTTTCGTATCTCCTGTTGTGGCCATGAGCAAAACCAAGCTTGCTGTCTCACATTGTGCATTGCGCACTTAGTGATGTTTTCCCATGCTTATCCACGGAGTAGATCCTGGGCTTCTGTGGGTCCCTCTGGTCTGTGGGATTTTTGTTTTCCCCGAGGGCTTCCTGTTACCCCAATACAGAACCCATATGGATTGTCAGGTGGGATTGGAAGCCAAAAGAGAAGTTGTTTCTCTGTTGCATTGGCATCCCAGGAAAGCTGGCAGACTAGCAATGTGAAAAATTTGAGAAGCAAGTTTATTTTCAAGGTTTCCAAAGGGTGGGACTGCAAAAATAAGAGGAAAATATTACCTAAGAACGCAGACACAGTGTCTCCACCTAGCATCCAGATGTCATTGTCCAGCCCCAAATAATCATCAGAAAGCTCCGCAAAGGCTTTGTTCATTCACGTCACAGTTTTCAGAGTTGAACTTTGCCTGAAGCTTCAGAGTTAGAACTTTGGGACACAGGGTGCCAACCAGCCTCACATTTAGTGCTGTGAAATCCCAGAACTGGCAATGTCTACATGAGGCAGTGATGGCATTTTCTCTTAATGCAGGAAAATCAGTGGATCCCTAATAAGGAAATAGGACCAGTCTGTTTGAAGTTATCACCTTTGATTGAATAATACTAAAGACTTGAATTGTATGCCTTCCTTTCTGAATTCTAGAAAGGGTTTTGTTGTGAGGCATACTTTGCTACTATATTTTTTAAAAATACCTTAGTATCTAAGATTGAGTTAGTAAAAATGCAGATCTAAAATCTCAAGCCAAAATTATTATGGAAATTCATGTGAGTGGATCTCAGAGGGCTCACTTGTTTTCCTGTACAGCTTTATTTGTTAAGACATAAACAAAATATCTCCTCATGTACCTTGAACATCATGGCAGCAAGAGCACGTGGCAGAGGCTGTTATTCACGTCTTACAAGCTGAGGGACAGAAGGGACAGGTTTTGTAATTTTATTTTCAGGACACTTATCTTACCCTCCCCTTTAAAGAAGTATAGATCTCTTAGTTGGTTCTTATCGTTCTGTACCTTCAGCACCTGTTTTCTCTTTCAGTCTTTGCAAAACAAGAGCTATAATCACTTTGCTGCCATTTATTTCTTGTTGGTGGAACGTCTGAAATCACATAGGAGCAGTTTTCCTGTGGAGCAGAGACTTGATGGCCGCCAGCGCCGGCCTAGCACCATTGCGGAACAAACAGTTGCCAAGGTAACCGCCCATGGAGCCACTAGTCTCATCTGTGCGTGTGCCTTTTTATATTTGGTACAAAAGGTTAGGATCTCATCTTCTACAGTGTTTTCCTAGGTTTTAGCCACTGTCACTCACTAGTCTCAACTTTTAGTACCTTCCTGCTTTTAAGGATTAATTTTATTTTCAGTTCTTTTCTTTAAGAGATATTTTGTCATTTAATCATTAGCTAATCTTGAGAATTAATGTAACTAGCCTGTACTTTCAGTTCATTTAACAGAATTGTATTGCACATTGATCATGTGCGGGCTGCTGTTGTTAGACACTCTAGGAGTTTGAATGCATGGAACACCATCATGGTTCTCAGAGCTGTATTTTAAAAGCAAAGTATGATATGGCCAGAATCATCCTCCAGGACAGGAAGATGGGTGCTGTTGAAGAACTGAGGGCAAGGGAGAGAGGTTCATCTGAATGAGAAGAGCTTCACAGGAGAGATGACATTTAAAACAGCTCTTCGTGGAGGTGTGAGACTGTGATAGCAGCGTTCAATTCTGAAGGCATGACTAGGAAGGTAACGCACACAAATGAATGAAAGTGCTCTGCATGGCCTTGTAGGCCTTGTTCCTATTAATTCAGTCCATTGGGGTGGTAAGTGGAGGCAGTATTGTGAAGAGCTCTAAATGCCAAGGATGACTTATAATTGAGGAAGCAATAACAGACTTATGAAGACCATAAGCCAGTTAGTATGGAAGCATTGGAAAGGATGGCTTGGTTAGGGAAGAGCTGGGGCAGGGGGCAGGATCTCACTGGCTGGCCTGGAACTTGTTATATAGACCAGGATGGTCTCCAACTCACAGATACCCACTTGCCTGTACTGGGATTAAAGGCATGTGCCACTCTGCTTAGCCTTGGAAGAGCAGAAAGTTTTGAAGAATGCCTATGAGAGTCTTAACTAGTTGAGATGCAGAATGCTGAAGACTTAATGTGGTACTAACAGAAAGGGAGGAAGGACTAAGACAGTTAGACCTGTATGAGCTCAGCACTGATGGGAAATGCAGCTCCACGTAGTGGTTAGAAGCAGGGGCACCAGAGCGGTTCCCAGATTCTGTGCCTCACTTTACCTATCCTACAATGGGAGTGACACTAAGTGCTGTGACGAAATGAGTTGATATCTGTGAAGCCTGTAAACAGTACCTAGCACACAGCACATGCTGAGTATCTGTTCCGCAACAGAGTTAGAGGCAACATTCTCCTCAAAGACCTGAAGACACCATGAGCACATGGCTCAGTGCTAGGAGAGTGATGTGGTCCGAGAGAGGTCTAGGACTTGTATGCAGTGGCTGGGAAAAGAGTGGTTTCTTCCCATTAAGATGCCTGCCACATGGCGCATGCCTTTAATCCCAGCACTCGGGAGGCAGAGGCAGGCGGATCTCTGTGAGTTCAAGGACAGGCTGGACCGATAGCCTCCGAAACAATACAGAGAAACCCTGTCTCGTAAAAACCAAAAAAAAAAAAAAAAAGAAAGAAAAAGATGCCTGCCACATCTGTAAGTAGCACTCCATGTCCAACAGAATTACAGATGTACAGGAATATAAAAAGATTTTTCATTGGCTTCTACAGAACATGAAAAAATAAGATCTTGATTTATCTTATAAATAAAATAATGTGTCAATACAATTGTGAGGGAATAGTGTATCAGTATAGCTCCAGATATTTGGATTAGAGTATTTTTGAGCATGTTAGAGCCTTCAGAATTGAATAGCACTGCTTTTGAGCAAGAAGGGAAGGGAAAAAGAACTCCTAAGCTGTGTTGATAATAGTGAGCCATAGTGAAGCCCTTCCCACATGCAAGTATGGCCAGACAAAAGGATAGGCAACGGGATGCCCCTAGTGCAGTAACATACTTTCTCAGCTAGGTTCCTTTATTCTTCTTAAATATTCCACCACTGAGTGTGGTGAAGGGTTACATCGACAGTTGTTCCCAAGAACCAGCACATGTTGTTGTACAAGATCCTTTCCTGTCTGCATGGTAAGCAAATCCCTCAGATATCTCAAATTGTGTTTAATTTGGCTTGAGATACAGATGTATAATGTACATGGCTTCTTTTGTTGTTAACTTTGGTTTTTTACTGCCATGCACAGCATGAGTTCTTTTCATTGTGTGCATTGGGTCAAGTCAGCATCAAACTGCATACTATGACTTCCCAGCTCACCTACTAACGTATTGAAAGTGCCTTCTGGACCCTAAAAAGGAGATCCCATAACACCCTTAGTGCATCTTGTCAAAAAAAACCCAAAAAACTGATTTTCTCAAAGTTTTAATAGAGCTTCCTTGTCTTGTTTTATTTGTTTGTTTTGTTTGTTTTGGATTTTTAGAGACAGAGTTTGTCTGTATCTCTGGCTGTCCTGGAGCTCACTCTGTAGACCAGGTTGGCCTCAAACACAGAGATTCGCCTCCTTTGTGCTCGGATCAAAGGTGTACGCCGCCACCTGGCGAGCTTCCTTGTTTTAATTCTTTGAATTTTCCTTTAAAAAGAGAGTAGATCACTTGTTCCTTGGCAAAGCAATAAACAAAACCAGGAAACAGCATGATCTAATACAGAGGTCACACAAACTATAGAATCATGCATGCCTTGAGTTCCATATAGAGATGAGTGATTTTATTCTGGTCAGCATTTGTCTGGTCAGCATTTGTCTGTAAATATAAAAGGGAAATAGTGCCTGCTTAATGTGCTTGTTGCCAAGATAAAATTAGTCAAACCGTGGGAACAGTTGTGTCCAGCAGAGTACAGTTCTCATCTACTAGGCAATGTAGCAACCACTGAAGTATCCAGGAGTCAGCCTTTGCTCTAAGCAGTTGTTAGTCTAGTGATCAAGTGCCCATTATTATTTGTAGACAACAGTGAGCTTCTCTGTAGGTAGGTGACGAGTACTTTTCATTCGCTGTATATCATGCCAGAAACTGCAACTAACCAGCTTCAGGAAACTATTTAGGAGAAAAAAGAAAACTTTCTCATAAAACCTACATACTAGTTTTTAAACAACCTTTCTACTTCGAGTTTGTATCAGCTTCAAGCAGACAAGAATGAAAATCTCTTCTGCTTTTTAATAACTGATTAGAGGTTGTTCCACAACCATAGGACAGAGCTTTATCTTAATTTGTTTGGGTTGCCATAGCAAAATGCCAGATCAGCATTTACATTCTCATGATTCTGGAAACTCAAAGGGTGAGATCTGGGTGCCCTCAAGTGAGTTTCTAGCACAATCTCTCTCCTAGGCTAGTAGATGGTTACCTCTTGCTGTGCCATCATAGGCTTTTCCTCATGGATTATGGGGAGACCCCTGTTTCTCTTACTCCTCTTATGAGAATACCAGCCTGCCGTGTAGTATGCACCTGTAACTCAGTGGCCAGCAGGGATGACATAGTAACATTCTCTCATCACCTTATAATTTGAGAATACCTTTGTGTGTTGATGTCCTCCTTTATCCAGAAGGATATTTTTTGCCTAGTACTGGGGATTGAACCCAAGGTTTTGTACTTCCTTGTCAACCCTCAACTACACCACATCTCAGCTTCTGAAAGACTTCAACAGTCACCTCACACAGACTTATAAAACATGTTTCTATTTCCTAGGAAATATTACATCAAAATGTTATACCTCCTTGTAATATCCAAATTCTTGGTTAATTTCTGTAGTCTTTAGTGTAAAGTGGTTGAGGAGGCTAAGTGTGATGATGTGTAATCCTAGCACTGTGGAGAGGAGACTGTGATGGTGTGTGCCTGTAATCCTAGCACTGTAGAGCATAAGGCAGGAGGACTCAGGGGTCAGTGCCAGCTGGAATTCCAGAATAAAACCATGTCTTCAAAAAAAGAAAGACTTGTCAAGGAAAATGTGCTTAGTTTGACACAGCTCAATCCGCCGTAAGAGTCAGAATTCTAGGGAGACACGACCAAGCTAGAACAGCCCTTGTGATCAGATGTGGCCATCTCATTTCCAGTGCACTATCTTCAGGTAAGGCTTTCCCTACTCTCAGGTGGAAGGAACAGGCTACAAAGTAGAGGAACTAGAAGTTGATTGAAAAGTTGATGAAGAGATAGGAATGTAGTAAATTTACTAGGAAATGAAAGTGTTACATGGTAACCAGAGGGATTAAAGCCCAAAGAAGGATGATGGAAGAAAAGCTGCTCCTTTATCATGCTCAGATGGTGTGTAGTGTTGTTTGCAGTGTTTCCCATCCATTCACTACTAATGGTATAATGCTTTATTCTAGTTTTCATGCAATATATCTAATGATATTAGTATCAGAATGTATCTTATATAAAGTGTATTTAAGTACATTCAAATTTTTGAAATGTACAGTAAGAACATACCCTTTCCTTTAAAAATTAATCAATTTAGCTGAACATGGTGGTGTATGTATTTAATCTCAGCACTTGGGAGGCAGAAGCTACTGGATCTCTATGCATTCCAGGCTGGCCTGGTTTACATAGCAAGTTCCAGGGCTACATGGAGAGACCCTGTCTCAGAAACAAGAACAAACAAAAGAAATCAGCTTAAAATTCCAACTGAAAACAACGGGACACTGACTGAGACCAAAACTGCATCCATCTTCCTTTCCCGTTGTTTTGTCCTTGGGGTCATTTTAAGACTGGAAGGGAAAGAAGAATTAACATTGCTAAACTGAGGGATTCACATGTTAACTTTCAGGCTTAACTTCACTATGAAGTGGGTATTAACACCCATTTTGACAGGAATAGAAAAGATTCAGAGAAAGTTAGATTGCCTGATTAAAGTCATCATACAATTAATAAGTGATAGAACCACCAATCAAGTCCACACCTTGAAAAAGAAATAGAATTTCATACAGTTTTGTCTTTTTGTTTGTATTTAAAAGTCACCATCCTGTATCCATTGTACCTGTAGCAGGGAAAATAGAGGCTGTTTCTCTTCCTGTTAGAGTCTGGTATGATAATTGTCCCCTTAGATTTTTCAGTGTCTGTTATGTTCAAGATATAGCTAAGAAATGATTCTGCCAGTTCTTAAGGTCTTTGGATAGAAGGACCATCCAGGAGCTTCAGAAGTAAGATCAGTCATTGCCAGTTGTCAAAAGGAAAGACTTTTAAATGATTTTTATAAGAAGAGTATAATCCTGTTTACTCAAAGTGCTTAACAAAGGAGACAGAAGAATGCACTGAACCACCCACAGGAAGCCAGGGGTGGTGGTGGCACATGCTTGTAACCCCAGCATTTAAGAGGTAGAAGAAGTAGGCCCAAGATGATAAGAGAGGCAGGAGCAGGCCCAGAGCTCTGTGTAGCAGGCTAGTTTCAGGAATAGCACTGTGTAGCCATACACATTCCTCCTATTGCTCCAGCAGGCTGTGTTCAGACTGCATCTTCTCAAAGGAAGGGGACCATCCTGTCACCCTGTCACTGCTTCTCTCTTCTTCCTCTTCTCATGGGGAAGAGAAGTAGGAAAAGACAATTACTTCTTTATAACTAGCTGTGGAGCTTGTGTATATCAGACCCTGGCTCATTGTTGAGTTCCTATAGGCTGGGCGATTTCTTTTCTTTTCTCTTTTTTTTTTTCCTTGTATCTTTCAGTTAGCATATTTAAAGAAAAAGTAGAAGTTTATTGAATTGAGACAAAGCTCCTTCTTTGATTCCTTACAAAGGCTGTCTTGTTGCCTGTATGAAAGATATCTCTTACAACGAGACAGGCACCAAATTCTGTACAGTTTATTTCAGAATGTCTGATTGTTGAGACTTAAATTTAGTGCTTACCGTGCATGTGAATGCACACATATATACACATACAATCAAGTCTTTTCTGGAGTCCCAGTGAATTAACACCTTATCTTTTTATTGCCTCAGGAAGACTTGCTTAGTTCTAAGAGCAGTATGCATGTGTATAGAACAAGAAATAATGTTCCCATGCTGTCTGTTCTTGCCACATTTTCAGGCACAAACTGTGGGGCTCCCAGTGACCTTGCATTCACCGAACGTGAGACTGATGCGATCTACCCTCCTCCCACAGGCATCCAATGTGGAGGCCTTTTCATTCCCAACATCCAGCTGTCAAGCAGAGGCTGCCTTTATGGAGGAAGAGTGTGTCGATACTCCTAAGGTATGCTCCTATGGTGTGCTTGAGACGCAGTACAGAGTGCCTGGAGACTGCAATTTGGTGTGCAGTGTTGTACTGTGCTTTTGCTGGATGTTGCTTTGGCTTTGGTGAAGAAAGATCAGCTCTCATCCATTAAATAGCAACTCTCAGGCCACATAAACCCTCTGTATTTTCCTTCCCTAACCAGTTCCTCTTCTTTCCCAAGTTTTAAGATTCCTCCTAAATGTTTGGGTGCATAAGTGGATGGGGTGTGGGCAGGTTGTTTGACTTAACAAACTATGATTTTAAAAACAAAAAGTCACCTGTTGTATTGGATTAGACTTTGTTATTGTTACCTCTCTTCTACACTGCAAACTGTAAATACAAAGTAATAGGATCTCTTTGACTAAACATCCTTTTTGTTCAGCTTGGGCATGCTTACAGGGTTTAGTTTGTATTTGTTGTATAAAGTTGGCTGTTGGGAAATGGAAGATGACCACCTCTTTCATGCAATGGATTTTTTTTCTGACTTGTAATGTAAGTAGTATATACTCAATAACAAGTGCTATACACATGATCATATTAATAAGAAGTAGTGTCATAAAAGAACATAGGTTTGGGGGTGTATTAAACTGCTCTTTCCTAAGCTGTGTGGATTTGGGCCAGGTGACTTTTACTTTCCTCTGTATAAAAGATACCTGTTTTAGAAAAGACACTGTAAGGTAATCAGTGTGGTTTAGGGTAAATTTTAAATAGTCAACAAATAGTTTTTCCATGTTTTAGCCTCTTTGGGTAATAAAAACATGAATCAAACATGAACTTGCCTAACAGCCTGCTAGACTGTGGTCTAACAAAAGAGAATATTAGATGGAACTAAAACAACTGCTGAATAAATTGATAGCATGTCACACAGTGAGATGTAAGTCTAAGTGAACCTAGAAAGAGGCAGAGGGATTTGATTTGGGGGTAACTGTCAGAGCTGGAGCTGCAAAGTAGAGTAGAATCCACGTATCTGGAAACTAGGGTGGGGTATCTTCAGTGAAGGAAGAGCTGTTCAAAAGCAAGCTGCAGGTAATCAGGTTCATTTAAATCAGAGCACTCATTCAGTTTGAGGGAAAGGGCATGTAAAGGAAAGCTGTGGAAGTAATGATGCATGTGTTAGTTTTGAACGGCAAGCAAACAATTTAGGTCTCTGGGCAGTGTTCTAGGTGTGGAATGTGGTGAACTGTCAGCTGAGATAGCCGATAAGATTGTCAGACACAACTGAAGGGTTCTGAGCAAGGAAACACTACATGCATCCTGTTCTTCAAAATTTTGCCAGATTGGTTCTCTGGCAGGCACGGGCTAGAGAACTAGAAAAATGGGAGGGTTAGCATGGATCCAGGAGGGACACAATACAGGACCTGGAATGGAATGAGCATGAAATGGAAGAAGAGGGGTGGTAGCAGTGGGATTGAGAGGATAGAAGTCCAAACCTACAGCAAGATTTTGAACCTAGACAAATAGGATGGGAAATGCCATTCTGCTGAGACCTCTGGATGTCAGGTAGATTCATAAGTTGCATGAGCCTAGCTGGAGCACAGGGACAGTGGCAGCTCTGTGCCAGCCCATCAGAGCAGGTGCTAAGCCAAGTTCCTGGGCAGGAATAGTTACTAGCCAGGCCTAAAGATGAGTCTGCTTCTGTGGACTGTCTGTTTTCTATGCCTGTATTTGCCTAGCATTACACATTAGTGATGCAGTCGTGCTCAGCATTTAGACATAAATTAGGACAGCATAATTCATTTTTAAGATTAATTCTCTTGAATAAATTAAAATGCAGTGTGTTAAAATCTTGTCTGTAAGGGCACCAGGCCCAAAACACAGATTGGGCACTGTCTGCTATAATATATAGGGCAAGCTATTTTTAAAGCTTGTGATTGTTACAGTTACTAGGAAACAGACAGGAAATGAATGGTTTCACAGAAGATATAGACAGTTGCTAGATGGTATATTCTCATTTGCAGGAATAAGAGTGTCAAACTGGAACTGGCCCCCACACCAGCAGTGCCACCCTGAAATTCAGACAAACCATAAACATCCACAGGACTCACTGTGAACATTTCATGTCCTTCTGACTACCTTTCTCTGAGACCCATAAATAAATGCACAGTTCCTTTGTTCATACAGCTCCATATACATTTGCTATATTCCATTTTTGCTTGCAATCAAGGACTAGTACTGTACATTTAAAAACATCACCTCTCCTTAATTGTTAGGAAAATCTCTTAAGGAGTCTGTCTTGAAACTTTGACTTGCAATTTCTGGGGTAGGATGGGAGGGCATCTTTCTGAGAAGTAGCTGAAACCCTAAGGACATAGGGTTAGAGGGAAGACAGTTGCACAAACTGTGTAGAGAAAATCCCTCATATACACACATTCCAGTCCATTTGTAACATCTAGACTATAATAAAAAGATTTCCAAGTTCACACCTTCACTAGCTGGTTAACAAGGAACCTTTAAGGTAAACCTTGAAATGCAAGTGTCTTGGAGGCATCCCATGTCTAATTGCACCTTCATACTCTGCATTATGCAAGTGGCACACATGAGAGAAGATTGGAAAAACAAACACACCAGAAAGATTGGAAAAACTAACCCACATCTTAGTAGTGTTAACCTCTAGTGGCCTTGGGGAAGAAATTTCACTTTCAGTTCTGAATTTAAAATTATAATTTGAAATAAAAACAAAAAAACTGGTCAGAATAGTGTGACAGTATGAAGAGAATAAAGATAAGATTAATTTAGTTATAATCTCAGTACTCAAAGGTAGCCTATTTGATGGCATACTATAAATTGGTGGGTAAGGTATAAGGCTCACTGGATGGGGAAACTCTTAAAATTATTCTTTATTATGTGTAATTTTGTATCCTCTATAATCTAGCTATATCATGAGAATTTTTTCCATGTCTTAAGTAGTCTTTGCAGACATAAACTTTAACAATTATGTAATCCATTGTTTTATACATCTCTTTCTTTAAACACTGTAGCAGGCTTTTTTCTGTTGGGTCACCAACCAACTCCCAAATCATGACACAGAGACTTCTTATTAATTATGAAAGCTTGGTCTTAGCTTAGGCTTTTTTCTTGCTAGCTCTTATAATTTAACCTGTTTCTCTTCATCTACATATTGCCTTGGGACTTGCTATCTTTCTGTATGTCTTACTCTCCTGTTTCTCATGTCTGGCTGGCAGCTGCAGTCTTCTGACCCGGGGTTTTCCTCTCTTTCTCCCTCTTTTTCTACTCGTGCCTAGATTTCTCTTCTTTGTCCTTTCTGCCCACCAGCCCCACCTATTCCTCTGCTGCCTCGCTACTGGCCAATCAGCTTTTTATTAGACCAATCAGGTGCCTTAGGCAGGAAGGGTGAAACAAATATAACACATCTTTATGTAATTAGACAAATGCAACACACCTTCACATAGTTAGTGATATGTTGCAGCATAAAAAAATGTAACACATCTTTGCCTAGTTAGCATAATATTCCCCAACAAAAAAGCGTATTGTTGAACAGTCATTTCCTTTTGCTTGCATCCCTAAGTAGACTGTAGTAGATGATTGTATGTCCAAGCCTTTAACTATTAAGCCCTATTGTTTAAGGACCCATTTCTAAGCCGAGTGTAAGTGCGCATGTAGCCAGCACTGAGTAGTACAAGGCAGGAAAACAGAAGTGCAGAGGTTCCCGGGCTCCATAGCAAAGCATCAGCTTCAAAAAGAATTTTCTAGCGTTGTTGTGATTCCTTTCTTCCTTCTTCCCCTGTTTAATTTGCCTTAAGGCAGGAAAAAAGGTTTTTTTTTTTCTTTTAAGTGTTGTAGTTTTATTCTTATGCTTTTTTTATTGAAAAGCACTCCCCTTTGCTTAAAAAAATAGCAGCAAAGTGTATTGGGTTTTAAAAGAACTACTTTTTCTGAATTATATTAGTTTACCCTCCCAACAACTTTACAACTATTTTACAAATAAAAAAATAAAAAACAGAAAGAGCTTGGTTAGAGCCTGAGCAACTATCTTGTAAGTGATCAGACTTAAGTCTGAGCCTACAGCACCTGCTTAGCATGTGCCCCATTTGCCAGGCACACGGAACAAAGTTAAATAAGGCCCTTTCTCTCCTCTAGACTCACTAGTTGCGTTATGCTTGGTGTACCATATGTATTATGCTTGGTGTACTGTATATATGAACCTGTTCACCTGCCCACAAAGTACCATAGACTCGATAGCTTAAACAACAGAAATTTGTTTCTCATAGTTCTGGAGGCCAGAGGGCAAGTACAGTTAGTTCCAGCTGGTCCCGTTTCTGATGAAGTCTCCCTCCTGTCCTTTAGGCAGCCCCTTCTCACTCTGTCTTGAGAAATCCACAGCCTTTCCTGTGTACCCAGAGGCAACTGGAAACAAGCTCTCTGATGTCTTTTTCACTGTTTCTTAAGACACATCTCAGTGTGAAGCCCAAGCTGGCCTCAGTCACTTAACTCTCCTGCCTTAGCCTCCTGAGTGCTGGGATTCTAGGTATGTACCACCCTACCTGGCTTCATGTGTCTTTTCTTATTTTATTAAGAAGTATTTTATTTTTAATTATGGGTATGTGTCTCTGTGCATATGTGCACATGAGTGTTGGTGTCCAAAGAGGCCAGAGGTGTCGAATTCCATTGAACTAGAGTCAGTCAGTTGTGAGCCTCTTGACAGGAGTGCCAGGAACCAAACTTGGGTCATCTGCAAGAGCAGCAGTATGCATCTTAGCTGCTGACCTGTCTCTCTAGCCCTTAATGTGTCTTGTCCTAGAAAAGGCTTCACTCACTTACAGACCCAGTCTCCAAATACCTTGGGAATTAAGGCCAACATATGAATTTAGAGAGGCAGGCTCGGAGACTTTCTGGGTCAATGCTGTGGGGCTCAGAGGGCTTTGACTGCTGTATGTGTATGAGGTCTCTGAAAAATAAAGTGTTAGAAGTTATACATTTTGCCCATATCTTGAAATCCTGCCATTTAATCTGTCTAGAGTATTTCTGGAGCATAAATTCTTATTTCTAGCAGCTTATGTCATTTATGTAGATTAGCCTAACATTTTAGTCATACATCCTTGTAGACTGTAGATAGTTAAGGGGTTTAGACATGTGAGTTCACTGTTATTCTTTCTCAAAGGAAGACGATGAAATATACTACAGGAGAACACTTATCTGGGTTCTCTTGCTGTCAAGTCTCTGGGTAAATTAGCATGAGTGCTGTCCTGGTTAGTTTTTTATCAACTTGACCCAAATGCCTGCACTAGACTGACTTGTGGAACATTTTCTTATTAATGATTGATGGACAAGGGCCCAGCTCACTGGAGGCAGTCCCACCCCTGGGCGAGTGGTCCTGGATATTATAAGAAAGAAGGCTGAGCACACCATGAGAGCAAACCAGCAAGCGACATTCCTCTGTGACTTCTGCTTCAGTTCCTGCCTTCAGGTTCCTGCCTTGGCTTGCCTCAGTGGACTACGCCCTGGGATGTATAAGCCAAATAAGTCGTTTCCTCCGCAAGTTATTTTTGGCCATGTTTTATCACAGCAATAGGAACCCTAGCAAGCATGATGGTCAACTGCTTCAGGAAACCTACTTATGTCCAAAGGTGCTCACCATGTTAACCCTGAGTCACCCTATGGGGTTTCTTACGGATTCTCCAGCCTTTAAGTGTTGTCTTCTGTCTGTCCTCAGATGAAAAGTCAGAGCAGTGGAAAATTCAACCATTGTTTTATACCTGGAAAATACTTTATTCAGACATAATTCCTCTTCTGGTTTAGATGATATGATAAGTTTATGAGGTAACAGTTTAAGATTATAAATTCCCAGGGAGCTGGCTGGTCTGACTAACTCAGGAAAAGGTGACTTCTGTGCTGAGGGAAATAAAGAGCTTGCTCATTGCTTACTCCACAGGAGGCGGGAAATGCACTTAACAAAGGCTGCCCATGGAAGGTGCTCAGTAGACAATTGCTTTAAGAGGTCTTGAGAGCTGTAACAAGCTGACACTGGAGTCAGAAGTCTAGAAAGAGTTGTTGGCCATTCTTTCCTGTAAGAAAACTGTTAAATACAAAGGAGACACATATCTGGCCCGACCAAGAGGAGAATGACAGTTCCTGGCCCAATTTCAGATTTCCCATTTTCTGTGCCATGGGAGAGTTGGTGTGGTCTAAGGAAGAAAGCAGCTGCCGCATATCAGCTACCTTACCAACATGAAGTCTCTAGCCCCAGATGCTTGTGGAATCAGCTCCTCCAAACAAACAAAGCTCTGAGTCACCCTACGCCCTCACCAAAAAGGGCCTTGCAATGCCTTCGGCAACTGCTGTAAGAGGAAAGTCTCCTGTGCCTGGCATAGGGCAGTCCTATGTCACTTCTCACATATATGAGCTGCCCCTGCTTCAGTGTAAACAATAGCTCTATCCAGTGTGTTCCAATTGAAAGTACCACAGAGAACTGACACTCCTTTGCTGGCTGCTCCTGAGCAGCTATTCATGGGAGAAAGCAGATTGATTTCCACAAGGGAATAGTTAAAGTAATGAGGTAAATAATTGCCTGCTCTTTGGGGCTTTTACCAGCCAGAACTTGAAACCACAACTCTCCTTTGTGTGCTGTTTTGCTAGCCATTAGGTGGTTTGCTTGGCAACTGTGTGGGAAGGCAATGTGCTCATTTAGAATCTGTGCCGAGCTCTCCCGATAGGACGGGCACCATAGACGTGTGTGAACTGCTGGTGGGTAAGGATTCCGTGCACTGGGACTTATTAACCTCTGCTGGAATTTTGAGCTGTGAGTCATTTGTTATTCTATAATGAAAGATTTTGGCTGTTTGCCATTTGAGTTTTTTTTTTTCAATCCTTTTTGAGGTATCTGTCTACAACAAATTCTTCCTTTCCATTCCTCAGGCACATTAGAACCAGTTTAAAAACAAAATATCAATAGGTCAGCACTTAAGTTATGAACATAAAAGTGGTTGGAAACTATAACACCGATGACTGTTCTCTCAGCTTTGAGACATTTGCTGTAGAAGTGAAAAGCAGCTCATCTTCCTCTCCTGTTATAACTGATAAGCCTCAAGCCAGCCCATCCTATTCATCTGTAAACCACTGGAAAAGGTGGTTATTGTAACAGTGATGACTCAGTAACCTGGGTGCCAGTGCTAATTTGGGTCCTCGTGGGCTTCTGTCTCTGAGCACTAGAGTTGACTTACCTTCATTTCTAATGTCAGTGCTGCCACTGGGAATAACTGCATGCACTTTAATATTTTCTTTATTTCTCATTTGCCTTAATTAAGTCTTGGCCTATTTTTCTGCTGTGGGTATTCCTCAGCAGAGCTTCAGCTGTGCTTCCTCTCATACTGACAGGTGAATGGCTGTCTGCTTGACCCTGTGCCCCCTGTCCTGGTGAGGAAGGGATGCCAGTCACTACCCAGCAATATGATGGAGACCTCTATTGATGAAGGGTTGGAGACGGAAGGAGAGGCTGAGGAAGACCCCAGTCAGGCCTTTGAAGCTTTCCAGGCCACACGAAGTGGGCAGCGACGGCACACTCTGTCAGAAGTGACTAACCAATTGGTTGTGATGCCTGGGGCAGGTATGATGTCAGAGCAGCACCAAGTTAACCCCTTACAGTATTGTTTCATACTTCAGGCATCAAGAAATAGTGATCATATCCCCTTCCCTTTGGAGCAGATGCCATGAACTATGTGAATTAGGTCTACTCAGCAGCTGACAGAGATTAAAAGGCAATGTCTCTGAGTTGACTCCCTCCACTCATCCAGGTTTCCTTGGATACAGTATGCTTCATAAGGGATTATGGCTCTCTTCAAGGCCGAGATCTTATGGATATAGTTTCCATGGTGTTTTCCTCACCAAACTTGAAGATGGTTAAACTAGCCAGCAAAAGCATTCTGGAAAGATGGAGGAGAGTTTGTGGTGCTGGAGACTGACTGCAGGTCTCTAGCATGTCAGGCATTTCTTCTGCCCCTGAATTACACTTAGGATCCCCAGCCCTGAAAGAACTTTTCTTTCAGGTCAGTTTTCTGTTTTCCAGACTCATGAGGAGTACTCCAGTCCTCTTACCCATCCTGAAAGATTGTGACTGTCAAGACTAGAGTCTGCCATTTTGTCTTGCTTCTTGTCAGTGTGTTTAAAGAAGATGCTGTTGGTGTGGGTGATGTGTTTTTATTTTTTTCTACAGGGAAAATTTTCTCTATGAATGACAGCCCCTCCCTTGACAGTGTAGACTCTGAGTATGATATGGGATCTGCCCAGAGGGACTTGAACTTTCTGGAAGACAGCCCTTCCCTGAAGGACATCATGTTAGCTAATCAGCATTCACCCCGCATAACATCTCCTTTCATAAGCCTCAGACCTACCAACCCAGCCATGCAGGCTCTGAGCTCACAGAAACGTGAGGTCCACAATCGGTCCCCTGTGAGCTTCCGAGAAGGCCGCAGAGCATCAGACACTTCCCTTACCCAAGGTACGTGCTTTGTTTTCTGGCTTTGAAAACTTCAGTCAGAAGCATGAAAGAATGTTGTCTTGCTGGTGTGAATGTATAACTAAAAGGCCTATTTTGCTTCTTAAACTGTTTGTAGGAATTGTAGCATTTAGACAACATCTTCAGAATCTTGCTAGAACCAAAGGAATTCTGGAGTTGAACAAAGTGCAATTACTCTATGAACAAATAGGATCAGAGGCAGACTCTAACTTAACATCAGCTGCTCCTCAGCTCCAAGACCTGTCGAGCAGCTGCCCTCAGGTGAGTGTGCAGTGTCTTCTGAACACATTTGTCCTGCAGATGTATGGTTTTCAGTTACAGAACTTCCTCCTAGTCCTAACTAAGCTGACTTTATGGGAAAGCCCAAGGTCTCAGAGGTTTTCTTGCTGCTGTCACTAACAGCTTAAACCCAGCAATGTTGCTCCCAGATGCTCAGCACCAGACTGAGGCCTTCAGACACACAGATACACTTGATGTTAATGTCAACCAAATGAAAAGCTTCTTTTTTTTTTTTTTTTTTTTTTTTTTTTTTGGTTTTTCGAGACAGAGTTTCTCTGTATTGTTTTGGAGGCTGCCCTGGAACTCGCTCTGTAGACCAGGCTGGTCTTGAACTCACAGAGATCTGCCTGCTTCTGCCTCCTGAGTGCTGAGATTAAAGGCATGCACCACCAATGGCCGGCTATGAAAAGCATCTTGAAACTACTTTTGATGTGAACTCACTATTAAATATGAAGATTAGTCACATTAAAAATATAGCAAATGTTGCTATTTCTTGAGCCAGTTTTCAGTGCATCAAAGATAGTATCATATTCTGGGCCCACATTGTAGGTAAGCATCTTGTGATACCAGGCAGGTGCCTTTGTTCTAGTACTGACTAGGCAATAGTTGAGTTATTAGCTCTGTAAAGATTCTCTGAAAACAGCATTCAGCCTACTAGTTAGATAAAAGCTTTGGGGTATTAGGTCATGTGAAGCCCAGATTCTACTCAGTCATTTGCAAAGGTGCTTAACTATGAATTGAAACTTTCTCACATAGAAATTGAAATGCCCACTTCTTTGATCCTTAGGAGGAAGTCTCTCAGCAGCAGGAAAGTGTCTCCACACTCTCAGCCAGCATGCATCCTCAACTTTCTCCGCAGCAGAGCTTAGAAACCCAGTACCTACAGCATCGACTCCAGGTGGGCTCCTTAGCACTCTTAGTTTAGCTCACTTCATCACAGAACCCCATTTTGCATTATTTAAGGTAGCTGAATTATTCCTTATAGGCAGGTAGATTTAACCCTACATTAGTAGCTTCTAGAAACATGTTCAGACTTAGCTTTATGCCCTCTGATGACTGTAGGAAAGGATATACCACTGAGTGCTGAAAAAGAGAAACCTGGCTTATTCTAATTTTATATTTATGAATAATTAATAAGATGGGATCTCTAATACATAAAATGCTAACAAGACTATCTATACTGGTGCATGAAGAACCTAAGAAATGATATGGCATAGATCCCATTCAGAATGAATCACTCAGCAGGCAATGGACTTCCTTCAAGAACTAAGTCTGATTTTCTCATTGTTCATGAACCTCCCTGTCCTGGAGGAATTTTAGAAGTGGAAAACATGTAGGCCAGAGCTAGATGCCAAGGCCTGCTGACCTTAATCATCTTCCAGGTCTGGGTGAACCCTGGATTCTGGAGGCCATGTGTGAATATACTGTCCAGATAGGCATCCAAAGGGTACACCTGAGCTGCATCCAACTGATAGCATATATATGCTTAGGCTCTGTTGCTTTTCTGATCTTCCAGAAGCCTAATCTTCTGCCAAAGGCCCAGAATACTTGTCCAATATATTGTAAAGAACCACCTCGGAGCCTGGAACAGCAGCTACAGGAACATAGGTAAGGAAGTCTTTGGCCAGTACAGTTATTATTTTCATGGCAGTCTGGAGAATGCTGGTGTATTATCCTTTCCCATTCTAGTTGCTTCTCCTAGGCCATGCACTAGTACATGGTCATTTTCTGTTTGGGCATAGTGTTAATAAGATTGTTAAATCCTAGAGTATAAGCCTATGCACTATGCCATTTCTTTGTATTTCTCTGGGATATAGTCAGCCCTGAGATTTCAGAAGCAATTGGTTACACTGATGAGGTTTTCTCCTTGGTGGTGTTCATGCCTGCTGGTCCCACCAGTAGAAGCTGCTTGGCAAAGGTAACAATTACCCTAATCATCACCCTACCTAGACACTCATAGAGGCCAAGATGTTACCTTTTTCTGAGCAATCTTCATGAGTAATTAGCCTCTCTAGAGGGAGAAACTTGAGAGACAACGCATCAGTGCTCACTTACATCAGAGGGGTCAGTCAAATAGGGGCAAAACCCACAGTGGTGAATTTACTCTGATTTTATTCCCCTTGCATGGAAAAGAGAAAGACGGCAGATGAAGGTGTCAGGTGTGGGGGTGCATACCTGGAATCCCTAGCACTTGGGATACTCAGTCAGGAAGATCACAAATTTGAGGCCAGCCTGGACTGTATAGAAGATTCTCAGAAGTAAAACAGAAAAGAAAGAAAGGAAAAGTGAAGTTAATGCCTAGTATTGAATTTACACTGAAATTACATTCCCTTGAGATGTAAGATGCTCTTTTGGTGTTGCCAATTTAGGCTCCAACAGAAGCGACTCTTCCTCCAGAAGCAGTCTCAGCTGCAAGCATATTTTAATCAGATGCAGATAGCAGAGAGCTCCTACCCTCGACCAAGTCAGCCGCTGGCTCTTCCCCACCAGGAGACTCCACCGCCAACCCAGCAGTCCCCACCATTCAGCCTGACCCAGCCCCTGAGCCCGGTCCTGGAGCCCTCTTCTGAGCAGATGCAATTTAGCCCTTACCTCAGCCAATACCCGGAGATGCAGTTGCAGCCCCTGCCCTCCACACCCAGCCCCCGGGCTCCACATCCCTTACCCTCACAATTGCAGCAGCCACCCCCACCACCTCCTCCTCCTCCACCTCAGCAGCCAGGAGCTGCGCCAGCCCCCTTACAGTTCTCCTATCAGACTTGTGAGCTGCCAAGCACCACCTCCTCTGCACCAGACTATCCTGCTCCCTGTCACTATCCCGTGGATGGAGCCCAGCAGAGCAACCTCACAGGCGCGGACTGTTCCAGGAGCTCAGGACTTCAGGAGACCCCATCTAGCTACGACCCTCTGGCCCTCTCTGAGCTCCCTGGACTCTTTGATTGTGAAATGCTAGAAGCTGTGGATCCACAACACAATGGGTATGTCCTGGTGAATTAATCTCAGCACAGGAAGTAAGGTGGCTCTAGTGAAGGCAGACTGAGTTTCTATTTTTGTTCCAGACCTTTAAACTTAAAGCTTAGTTTTTCCCTTTTCCCTAATGGGGAAAAATCAAGTTTCCCAACTGGAATCAGGGTTTGACTGGGGTAGATGTTCCTCCCGGCTCTGTCCCACCACAAAATTTTCTGTGGTAAGGGCTAGAACATAGTTGGAGACTGAAGCCAATGCCCTTAGATAAAGTGGAACAAGCTCTCAAGGGGGCACCAACAAATGTTTGTATAAGATGACAACATAACAGACCTAAGTTTTACACCAGTTCTTTTCCAAGGAAAACCTTGGTAAAAGCACGAAAAATGTGTACGTTGCATATATACACCTAGGGAAAAAGAAATAACAGTATATTTCACTAAAGCCAAGCAACAGCAAAGTGCCTCAAGGCAAATCAAAACTACGTCATGGAAGAGAGGGGAGTTGTGCCGTTGTTCTTGGCTGTTGATACAGGGTGTCCTTTGAACAGTAGTGGAGCCTAAGGAGTGCTTCAGAGACACTAAGTAGCAGCTGGTACTGTCCCCCTGAAACCTGCAGTCATCTGGGAGCACACGATAATGCCTTTTCAAAAATGCCCCTGGATGGCCAAGTATTAAAATACTCAGGGCTCCAAAGCTCTCACCTGTAGAGACAACAGGAGCCCTGTCACAGAGGAGGCTGAAGCAGAAACGCTGAGCTGGAAAGCCAGGCTGTCCCTGCACGGCCTCTGTTCTGCAGAGACCGCTGTCTGCACACTGCAGTAGTCCCCTGACTCCCCACTCTGTTCTTTGCATAGCTGCCCAGTTTCATGTAAGGTTCAGATTTTTCAAGATACACAAACAATGAACGTTTACGGCCCATGTGAGTAGTGCTGTGCCTTCCCCCAGCTCATCAAACTTTCTTTCCTGTAGAAACCAAGATTTCCATTTATGTCCTTGCTAAATCCAAAACCACTTCATTTGTTTTCCACCGTGTGGGAATCAGAGTTCTTAATTTCCTTAAGGTTTTGATTTGTCTGAAATGTTCAAGTATTATAGCAATAGTCAGAGAACCACAGATGTGCTAGCCATTTACCAGAGAAGCTTAAGAGTTTACTTCACTAATCAGAGGGACTGAAAAATAGATGTTATAGCTCGTCAACTAGATAGTGAGAAGTAGTTCTGTCATTTGCACAGGGACATGCAGGTGTTACAACCTCAGTATTATTTATAAAAATTGTAATTTCTATTCTTTAGAGTGACTTGTCCTATCAGCAGATGAATGCACTAAGCACAAAGCGTCTTCCTTAAAGCACAAGAAGAGAGCTACTACACTGATGCTGCATCTAGAAACACCTATAAGTTGCCTTTCCTCTCTGTAGTAAGTGTCCAGGCAGGCAAGGGAAGACTAGGCATGGGAAGTCTACGGAGAGCCATCCTGGCCACAGCCCAGCCCCTGACAGTGCTGGTGATTCGAGCGAGCTAGCGTCTTTGAGGCTGGCCAGAGACTGTATCGTTGGGCCCCAACTGGTGCCAGGCTGCTTTGCAAATGCGCTCTGCTTGGAATTGGGCTGTGGGTGTCAGCAGGAATGGATAGCAGGAGGGACTGTCATTTTGTTATTGAATAACTGAAAATCCAGTAAGGATAAATTGTGTTTATTATTTCTGTTCCTCCTCGTGCTTAAAGATTGATGATTTTGTGAGATAAAGAACATCATTTCATTTGAGAGATCATTTCATTAAGATCTCTAATACATTTTAAAACGTTGCAAAATAAGCCAGCTATAAAACAGGCTTGATCTGTTTAGACTGGAGGAGGATGTTTTCCCAAAATATACTGCAGAAGCGCTATAATATTGACGAAATGAAAATGCCTTCCAGATTGAAAATGGGGGCCGCTCATTTCAGGACTGCAGGAACTGCACCGCTACAGTTTGGCATAAACCCCTGCCCCCGACAGGGCTGTGAGCTGCTCAGCCCAGGAGACCTAGCAGCTATGGCAGGACAGTTAGGCGACAGATGAGGGACTACGGAGAGGCTGTCAGAAGGTTACAGGCTGCAGAGACAAGCTGGGAGCAGCCATCAACAGCCAGCCTGTCAGGCACTGACACACAGAGCGGAGGTGAGGACAGTCGCCTGGTGAAGAACACGAACCGTCGTGCTGGATCCTGTCGTAAGCTCCCGTTTGCTCCTCTCCCTTCTTTGAAGTAGAAATCCCTAATTCCATGGCTACCTTTATGACCTGAGATGGAAGCTGGTGAGAGCAGATGGGCTCTGCTGGTCAGCTCACCTGATTGCTTCTGCTGCTGTCCCCCAACTAGTGACCATAGAAGCTTCCAAGCCGTTTCTCCTCCCAAGTACTAAAGTAACACTAAGAAGGCTGAGGCCCACTCTGGCTGAGGCAGCTCTGAAATACTGACATGCTCGCCTGTCGGTTCACATCAGCAGTGTGTACACTACTGTATAGTAACCCTTAGCTTTGTTGTCTTGTAAGCCAGCCTCTCCAAAAAGACTGGTGATTCAAACATGAGGTAAAGTTTTCATTCGGCAAAAAGTGCAATATGTGTGGTACTTTTTTATTTTTGTTTATGGTCTCTTGTTATCCAGGTATCACTCTCTGCTTTGGGGGAAATGCATTAGTTCTGCAGTCTCCAGTTGGGCAAGTGTGTCTCAAGTATTTACATGCAACTGACATGCTGGTCCCTATAAGGCAAATAGAGGGTGTTAATGCAACAGGAAGACAACAGGTTGTGGGCTCCCATTCCTCTATTCCCAGGGAGCTACCTGACCAGTGCCAGCCCTCACCCTCCCCTGAGTGGGCCTTCCTGAGCTGCCTTCCTGCCACCTTGGGAACAAACCCCATGGGAAACAATGAGGACCCAGGAAGCGCCTTTGGGACTGATGTGAGGCATAGATGCTACTTTGAGCAAAGCCCTTTCTTTTGCTTTTTGTCCTAGGAAAAAGAAAGCCAGGGTCCTGCTGGCCTGTGATGGCGCATGCCTTTAATCCCAGCACTCGGGAGGCAGCGGCTGTAACATTAGAAAGCCAGGGTCTCCCTGTCTCAGAAATCAAGATCAGAAGTGCTTAAATCCTGAACTGGTGTCAGGGAGGTAGGACTTCAGCCTTTGCCTGCCACACCCCCTCCTAAGTTATATAATTGAGTCTTCACTGTTACAGGGCCCCTACCCCATACCCCCAGTCAACCCAGCCCGTGGAGCGACACCCTCTGCCTTGCCCCAGAACTCCAATCACTAGGGCACTCAGCAAGGACTCACCATAGGCCTCTCTACCTCTACCATTATACCTAAGGCAGGGATACTAAGACTGGGGAAAGGAGTGTGTTCTCAGCTGGAAAGTGACACAGGGATGAGCCAGACGCTGAAGGAACCCAGAAAGCAGCAGCTTCTAAGCAGGCTGGTCTAGGGCCCCAGGTGTGGCAGCAGCTCAGGACATGGGGACTCAGTAGGCTCTCCTTCCTCTGTGGGGTTCTTTAGCCTCTCAACAAGCCAGCTTAAAAATATGAGGACCAGTCTCTGCTGTGCATTACACTTTTACACTCACGTCAACAGTGACTTAGGCTCTCTACTGGTTTAAAGAAAATTCACAGTCAGGTGCCGTTTTCACATTCCTCCTCCTCTAGAAACAATATGTAGTGTCATTGGATGACACTGATCCCACTGGGCAGTTGCAGAGTCCCTGTGCCAGGGCTGACCTTTGCTGCGTTTGTACCCCTAAGCTGGGCTGCCTCTACTGCCTCCTCGGAAGCCACCTGAGCCGCTCGGTCTCTCTGTGCCTAGACATCAAAGGTAAAAACTGGAGAACAGGTAGTAAGTTGGAGTCACTGCCCAGGCAGGGATCTTTATCATTTTGTTGCTTCTGGAAATTTTTTACAGAACTTACCTTCAGAGTGATTTGTGGGAGACAAAAGCAGTATCATCAGGCTGTTTCAACACTGAACAAAAACACTTCATTGCTTACACACTTACACACACACACACACACACACACACACACACACACACACACACCTTCCCTGGCTGGGGGTCCCAGAGAAGTGAGAACCTCCATGGCTTTGCCACCTGCCCTCTGTGGCAAATGGAATGAGACAATGACCCTTAAAGGGTCCTTTTGGCCCTAAAGTCTCTGATCTCCCAACATCTTCTCAATTGTTTAGCCATTTTTACCCAGATACATCAGCCTAGTTGATTCTAGACGACTCCCAGCCTTCATAATTGCAGCCACATCTATGTCCACATTACACGTGAACAGATTTGGGTCATGTGGCTGCGTGGGTTGACAAACAAGAATATTGCCCAGCAGCGTAACCAAGGGTGGTTCCTACAGGGCCCGCCCTCTCTCTCCATCTTCACAGCAGCACACCAAGCACTTTTCACACGCTCTCCCACAACCCTCACATCAGTCCTCTGTGAAATTAGCAAGAGATATGCTCTGTGTTTCTCACAGCCGAGGAAAGCAGTGCTCTCAGAGGATACATGGCTTAGCTGAGGTCACAGCTCAGAAGTGGTAGCCGAGACAAGCACCTCTGTTGCCTGCCTTCTGGCTTTGCTCCTTGTTGGAGTCCTGTCCCACAGCCCTCCCCTTCAGTAGCACATCTTTTCATGAGCAGACAGCCATGTAAACAAGGCCCTGTCCAGATGGCTGCACCGTCCACCTGACAGCTGCCTGGGGTTAAATGCCCACTGCAGTTACCCAGGTGACTGCACTCGACAAGGAGGGGACACACAGACACCACAGATTGGCCATCTTGCTAGCCAATAAACCTCAGAAATTTAGGTTTGAATTAAGGAGGTTTGTTTATTCAAGGTTATGTAATCCGGTGCTTTTTCGGTATATATTGGAAGGACACACTCCTCCCTGATTGACAGAGGGCTTCCTTAGTCAACAGTCAACCCCAGAGAAGATGGCTGCCCAGAGAATTGTGAACTCAACCTTTATCCTAAAGGGATGGCATGTAGAACATTTCTTTCTTTCCTTTTTTCTTTCTTTCCTTTACTCCCTTCCTTCCTTTCTTCTTTTAAATGGTCTTTTGAAACATAGTCTCACTATGTAGCTCTGACTGCCCTAGAAGATCCTGGGTTACTCTGTAGACCAGGCTGGCCTGGAACTGGGAGATCTGCCTGCCTCTGCCTCCAAGTGCTGGAATTAAAGGTGTGTGGCACTACCACCCACACGTTTCTTTACAATTAAGTCCTGACAAGTAGGAAGGCTTATAAAACACTTTGAGGATTGCAAAATGGTAACACGCTTTGATGATGGCATGCTAGGTCTTTTCAGAACCAAAATGGGTGAGTAGGGGTAACTTTAAAAATAGAAATGCAAACAACACCCTCGTGGAGACCGTCATGTTCCATTAGCAAGTGCAGATATCTGATACCTGCATGCCCAGAGTTTGCTCACAAGAAAATTCAAGTGGTTAAATATTCCCAGTATCCATGGTTAAAAATAAGGCCTCTACCAGACTCTGTGAAGGAGAAAGCAGCAGAAGAAAAAGAGATAGGATGCTGGCTTGCCTTTGGGACTGCAGTGTTTAAGAATGAAAGTAAGTGGTAGAGATTACTTGCACTTTGTAGAAAGGTAAGGCCATTTGCTTATTGCAGAAAGGAAGGGAGTGGTCTTGCTGGATTCAGTTTGGTCTGTGAGTTACTTTCGATAACTTTAACCTGATTGTAGTTTTTTTTTCCTGTGTGCTTTTTAATTACTAAGAAAAAAATTGGTGACTTTGATAGCTTTGGTATTTTGAGTGCAAATCCTAATAGCTCCACTGTGGAAAATCAAAGTGTAACCTGCCACTCAGTGTTAGAAAATTGCCTAAAATGCAGTTTAATAAATGATCTTTGTACCAAATGGTAATTTAAGTGGAGTAATTTTCTGCAAGGAAAATGTTCTGTCTTTATGTTTCCAACCCTCCTGAATTAAAATAAAAAACACCTTGTTTTCTAAAAGCCTGGTAATGTGAATGTCAGACTAATGAGATTATAGGCAAGTCTCCACCTCATTGAGTACTGGGTAGAGTTTTCAAACTGGGGAAGGTAGCTGTGTTCTCTGAGCTCTGGTGCTCATTTCAAGCTACAGAAAGGACAGTAGATAGTATGTTCTCATTGACGTCAGCAGGGTAAATAATACCTCGCCCTGAATTGCCTGCCTACACGTCAGCCACTACAGATCACTGATGGAAACCCTGCTAACCACAGCCTGCATACAGATGGGCCCCTGGGCCTGGTTAGTGCTCCTTGATGGGAGTCTCAGGACAAAGCCCATCACTGCAGGTAGTCTGCACTAGGGCCTCTGCCACAGGAAGAGGAACCAAGACTAGCACACCGTGCTCTTGACAGCTCCCCCAGAACAAGTAACATAGAGGATGGGAAGGAAGGTACTCTAAACTGCCAGGAAGGCCAGCAGAGAACACTGCTACTTAGTGGCAGTGTCACCACCTCTCTGGGGACTGTAAAAGGGGGGAACCCCCCAACACACACCATGGACTTCTCACAGGGACAGGCATACCCTTTAAGATACAAGATACAACACTTTGCCCTCGGGGGTTTTAGAGAATTCCTTTGCCAAGCTGCTTTAGTATGTTCTAGACTTGTGGGGCCAGAGCCCAAGTAAAAGGGCAGGATCAAGTCCTGTTCTCTGGCAGTGACTACACTGAGATTTGGTTTCCATTACTTAAGCCATTCCCCTGTGCCAATATTATATAGAGCTGAAACAGCTCTGAGACTGAGGCAACCCTGGCGGCTGTGAGTGTACAGGCTTGGGAGCACAGACCCCCACTGTGCATGTGCACAGCTCTGCCCCTTGGAAGAGAATTCAATACAAGTTTCGTTTTTTTTTTTTTTCTCACTTTCAGTAACTGGTTTGCAAACTTTACCCTTGCCTGTTGAATCACTCTGTCATTGTAATGTTGTCATAGGCAACCACCCAGGCCTCCCCTAAGTCTAAAGACACCCTTCACTTCCATGGCAAGCACAAGGGCCTTATGAAGAACAGAGAATAGGCCATAGAGGCCAGAGCACTAGCCTGTGGCCTCTGCTTGGCCAGCTCGGGGACACAACAGACCAGCAGTAATCACATTCCCAAAACCGACAGTCAGCCTGTGGCCAGGTAGGAACAAACTGGCTTCGTTCCTGGGAGCTGCCCTCTCCTTCCTTCCTCAGTCCTTCCATGTGCAGAGAAATCTTTGGGCTCTTCCCCAGAAAACTCCCCTACAGAGACAGTCTTCAGGGGGACGATGGGTTGAGGATCTAAAGGTTCACCCTGGACAGGTGGGAAACCCCTTACTCCTTCTAAAGATTCTGACAGTGACACTTTTGCCTGAGGGGTGCTCACACCTCCAAAGTGGGCTCAGGAAAGAAGCCCCGGCTCAGCCTGCAGTTCTCAGGGGCAAGGCTGAGCTTCGTGAACTAAAGCTATTTGCCAATGGTGGTGGTGTTATTCAGCTTTTTCAGTGCATGAAATAATGGCTTTCGTTATGACATCTTGACACCTACATATCCAGCTCTTGCTCATATTCACCCTGTTGCCATCGCCCATAATGTATGGACCACTTCATGGACTTGCATGCCATCCTTGCTAGGGCCATGCTAATCTCCCTGTATTGTTCCGTAATGTATGGACCACTTCATGGACTTGCATGCCATCCTTGCTAGGGCCATGCTAATCTCCCTGTAATGTTCCGTAATGTATGGACCACTTCATGGACTTGCATGCCATCCTTGCTAGGGCCATGCTAATCTCCCTGTATTGTTCCAGTGTTATCAGTGTGCTGCCTGAGCAAGCACTGTGCTACATAGGGAATCGCACACAGACCACAGTTGCTCTGCTTGGGCTCATTCAAGCATGGCTCTACCCTTTCACTTTGGCTCCAGCCACAAATTTCAAAGGCTGAACAGCTCTTGAGCAATGGAATACTGTACATAGATTACTTCAGACAATGTCCAATGAGAGGAGTGGATGGACCTTCACCTCAGACGTGGAGTTGTCATCAGTGACACACCGGTCAGCATCCAGGCACAAAGCTTGGGAACACACATCAGTGGGGTAGAGGTTAGACAGTGTCCTGAGGAGTCTGCTCAATTCCTCTACATGTATAGTTACAGTCAGGGGCTCACCTCCCTCCCTCCCCCCCTTTATATGTGTGTCTATGGGCTTTCCCAGGATTGCTGGACTGCTTGGCAACCAGGGGGTAAACACACACACACACACACACACACACACACACACACACACACACACAAAGAGGAGGAGCAACAACTTTGCAGAAAAGCAGACTGCCCTGGAGCCAAGTTCCTAACACTGGCTGGGCAGAACATTCAGAAAATCCAAAGCCCAGAGAAAATGAGGCAGTTGGGTATTGAATCTCTTGATGAGCTGAGTCACTCCCTCCACAGATAGGCTTCAAAGGCTTCTTACTCCATTTTCCTCCTCATTCCCCAAAGATGGGTTAATGAAGCCTGAGTTGCCTAAGAGAGGGCCTGACTGAGAACTCTGACCCCAAGACTGCCCACCAAGCTGATGAACTAAGATACAACTGAACTGAGAAGATGACAAAGCCTTTCCACAGAGCATGTCATGCAAGGGACCCAGTTTACAGTCCTGCCTGTGTCTAGCCTGAGACCCACTGTAACTGCCTTAGGTCACTGCAGAAACCCAAAAGTGTAGTCATCAAAGTGAGGGCCAAAGGACAGGCAAACAGTTGGGAGGGTTCCAGGAAATGAAGGGCCAGTACAGAGCAAGGCTTGGGAAACAGGCTGGCTCCCCAGTCCCACCCAGGGGGTAGTCAGACAGGCACTGCAGGTAGGTGGTACCACCCCTTACTGCAGCATACGAGCAGCAAAAAATCTGGACTGAGTAACTCCCAGCCCTGCCACTAACTTAAACAGATTACTAAAGACTCTGTCCCCAACTTTGATGGGAACACAGCCTGACTCTGCACTGTCCTCTAATATGAAGCATTAAGGGTCTACCAACTGCCCTTGACAGCTTGTCACAATACTCCTCTGTGTTGCTTTAAGTAGTCTGCAAGACACCTCGGTAGGAAGTGGTGATACAGTTGCCTGGGAATTCTCTCCTCACAGAAAGGTGATTAACAGTTCTGGGATTTTGGAGTTTTTAATGAGTTCTGAGCAGCACTGGTCCTGAGTACCACAGTGTAAGACCGTCCCAGGGAATCTGATGGTTCATCTCTACTGTCAACAAGACTGGATTTGGAACCACCTAGGAGACACTCCCGGTCTATCTGTGAGGACATTTCCAGAAATGTCTAACTCTGGAGGGAAGAACCACCCTGAATGTGGGTGACCATACCATAGGCTGGTGTCTTGAACTGAATAAAAAGAAAGAAGAGGAAGCCAGCAGGCTGTCAGCTTTCATCTGATCTGACTGCAGACACCATGTGACAAGCTGCCATGCCTTACCCACCACAGAGTGTCCCCTCAAGCTGTGAGCCAATCTAAACCCTTAGGTTGCTTTGTCACAGTAAGAAAAGTCAGTAACACATCTAAGCGGCCTTTTCCTCCCCAACTTCGAAGCTAATTAAACTCATGGGTGGAGAGAAGGCTAGAAGGCCTGGGGAAGTCTTTCCTTACACAGACAGCTCCTCCGTCCTCAGGGAGTCTCAGGAGACCAGAACCTATGGACCTGCTCCAGCTGACCTGAGACATCCATTCCCTTCTATCCTTACTTCCGCCCTGTGGTAGGACCCAGTTCCCTTGGCTCTAGGGGTGATCAAACACCCCTGGGCTTTCGTGTATAGCAGTCTAGAATGGACTTGGGCCTCCTGGAGCCCAGTCTTTCTGGGTTCAAGACTAATCTTTTGGCCAAGAAGTTGGGCTCTTGAACCACCTACTCTTCAAACATGCACAGCTGGGCTCCTTGGAGTTGTCCTTAATCCCCAGACAGCCATATATGCCCCTCAGTCTGGGGAATAAACCAGCTGCCTAGCAGAGCACCCTCATCTCAGGCCAGCCAGAACATCCTAGGTCACCAGCAAGTGCTGGCTTAGTTCCCAGAAGAGACAGATGCCAGGAGGCACAAGCCAGAGACCGAGAAGGAGAACAGGCGAAACATCAATAAAAAACCAGCAGTAGAACCAAGGGTAGGGGAAGCCAGGGACAGGGAAGGTGAGCACTGAGCCTCCGTGCAGGGACAGAACAGACTCTCCAGGCAGAGAGAAAAGGAAGAGGAGGGTGGACTGTCAGCCCAGTGTCTGCACCTATTATTTATGGGTGTCTCACTTGATCTGAGTCTCCAGACCTGGGCTCAGTGAGGAGACTGAATGTCCCTCACAGCTGCTCATTCCTGCAACAACAAAACTGACATCACTGTTGTCAGGGAAATGGTGTTTTGATTAAAATCATGTGACAGCTACTTCATGATTCAATAAACAAATCTGCTGTTAACCCTCGCCTGACAAGCTCACCAGAAGCTGTGGTCAGAGAGCAACCTCTGCCTGGGAGGGAGTGACTATGGCAGCCTGGAGGTAGCAGAGTATGAGAAGTGGTCCAAGCTGTTCCCTGGCAGGTCCTGCGTGAGGAACATGAGTCACCAAATATACAAAGGACCATGCAAATTCAAGAGCCTCTCCAAGCACCGAGGCAACACCCACACTTCACCAGGAGGAACCCTGGGCTGCTGTCTCGTACCAAGCGCACTCCCTCGGGGCTCTGCGGCCAGTCAAGAGCTCAGTTCCCAGAGTCCTCCACACCCGATACTCTCCCTGTGAGGACAATCAGTGAGCTGGCCATGCAACACAGAAAGGGGTTAAGAACAATTTCTGGTTTGCAACTGGATGACTTCCTGGATCATTCACTTGGCTGTGGGCCTCTGACATGAAAAACTCTGCCTGGCAACACGTTCCTTTCTTTCCATTTCACCCCTAGGGCATTTGCTTTAAGTGAAACAAAAGCAAGGAAGGCTCCCAGAGTCACAGAGAAGGGGACTTTTGTGAGTAAAATGAACCTGCAGCCTCAGGGACTTGGCACAGCTGGCTTCTAAGGAAGGTTCCCAGCCACCTGCTGTGTCCACGGTAAACATGTACTGGTCAGCCAGCGAGGTCCCGAAGTAATGGAGGCTCAAGGAATGACAGCTAGTGCTGCTGTTCTCAGCTGGAGAGCCTTCCTCAGAGGGTCAAGTCAGCTGCAGGGGTGCCTCGTGTGGTCAGGGCTCAGGTATTCACCATGGGTTCACTGGCAGGACCACATAGTCCTGAGTATAATGGAAACAACTCCATTTCCAATTAATAAGTGTGTGACCAGGTGGTGGTGGCGCACGCCTTTAATCGAGCACTTGTGAGGCAGAGGCAGGCAGATTTCTGTGAGTTCAGACCAGCCTGGCCTACAAGAGCTAGTTCGAGGACAGGCTCCAAAGCAATACAGAGAAACCCTGTCTCAAAAAAACAACACAAACAAACAAAAACACAACAGTGTGGCCTAGGCCCCTAGGAATCACTGTTCTTACTACCCGAGGCCGGTCTCTTCACTCAGTGAAGTTCTACAGAGGAGACAAAGGGGCACGAAGGGTTGGCAGCTCGGGCATCTGCCAGGACACAGGCTTTGTAAGCTGCAGTCAGCCCCCACTTTCTCCCCACCATGCAGCATGGGAACACCCCTGGGGCTTCACAAACCAGAGACAGCTGGAAAAGTCCGGAGGGGACAACAGTGTGCAGGGACACAGAAGAGCGAGTGCTCAGCGCAGGAAAGACAGGATGGCCTTCATTTACATAAAGTCAGGTGACTTAAAGTCAACCTTTTTATCAGTGGGTGAACCATACAAATTCACTGGAGAGGGTGTGACAGCACCCACTTACAGTCACTGTAGCCAGTCTGACGTCAGCGCTAGGTAGCCCAGGCTCTCCACTCCTAAATATGGTCTGAGTCATAACCACCCTTCTCCCCCTGGCCACAGCTAGAACCCTGATGACTGCTGAATTGAATCTCTGCCTCCCTTCTCCATGTCGTTGTAGGGGACAAAATAAGCTTGTAAAACATCCAGGAAAACGTCAAGCATGAACTCTTGAATAGAAATCACTCCCTAAGTAGAACCATGCCAATAACTTTCCAGCCTGTGTGGAAAGTATACCAGCTCTTCCAGTTTACCCTTTTGTGGTGAGGGCATTGTCTCAAACAGAGGAAGAGTCTAACAACCTCACACCACAGGACTGACTGAGATCTGAACAAGACCACCCCTTCACAAAGGCAGTAAAACAGCAATGCTTTAAAATACTCTCCTACCCCCTAAAGAGGCTGCCTCTCCCGACAGTGTGGTGCTCACCTTGCTGTGTGATTCCCTACAGCAGCAGTAAGCTCTACTGGCTACCCTCTGCCCAGAAAGAACAGGGCTCTGGCCCCAAGTGTCAGGGGCACTTACCTTCCCAGTGTTCTCTCCAGGCACTCGGGGTCTCAGGAAGAGATTCTTGTCAACCCCAGGGATGCTTGGCTCTTCACTGTCCTTCACGGGAAAATCTAGCTTCCTCAGCCTTTGTGCCACCGCTAAGGATACAGACAGCAATGCTGTGACTGTCCCTGACCAGGGCCTGTCCCCCCAAGCCCACCTGTGCTTCCCAGCCACGATGTCCTCAGCGGCCCTGGCACCCTGGTGGCCTAGGAGCGTACAAGATTCTGAGCAGCTGTGCAGAGAAAGCCAACCCTCGCCAGTAGGCTACCTAAGGTGCCTTTGAGCTCAGGGCACCTACACACACTGGATCTAACTGGGGGCTCCCCCACATCTTGGTCATGGGTAGCCTGGAGGGCCCTCATAAACAAAAGCCCTAGCTCCTTTCAG